CCCCATTCGGTTCAGTGTGTCTCTAAGACAGTCCCAGGTCCTGTGGAGATGGGTTCGGATTCCATCAAATCCGGGTCCTGTTGGAATTAAAACTGGTCAAGCCAGCCAATTAACTTACAACACGGGAAGGAAAGAATCAAAGAACTCCGCTGTATCCAATTCCAACCGGGTCAAACTATAACCCGTCGGTAGTGGGAGGGACCTGACCAACCTTGTTACGCGTCTAATTTCATCAACAGTAGTACTATAGCGAGTGGAAAGCCACAATCTCTTCTGCTGCTTCATCTTCTTCTTCTCCTGTGTTTTTTTTTTTTTTTTGTACAAATCTACAAGACTGAACAGGATTTATTATTACTGCTAGGTGGTGATGAGTGATGACGATAATCTCTTCTCTCATTTCCAAGCCGGCTGTTGTCCTCGTGTAATTTCTCTCTCTCTCTGTGAAACTGAAAAGGTCGTCATAAGTCATAACATGCTCACACACGCACGCATAAATCACTGCAACCAACTCGACATTTACTCCTAAATCCTCTTTTTTTCTTAGGTTTAATTTCTATACTTGTTGCCTGTTTGGGGCCCTTTCAAAGTTTCAGGTGCACTTTTGTAGGCCCTCCATAGCTTTTAATGAACCCAAATCTGCCCACCCCTTATTAATAACTTTGCCCTATCTTCGGTTTCAGTGCTTCTCTCTATATATATCTCCGCTCATTCGTTTACATTCGCTTTTACCCAACAAACATACTCTCTCTCTCTCTCTCCTCCCTCCCCCTCTCTCCCTCTCTCACTCGATAGCTTTTTGCGTCGTGTGCAGAGAGTAGCTAGCTAGCCAGTCACTGCGTCGATGTTGGCCATGGAAGAAATTTTATGCGAAGTGCATGGAGAAGACACAAACGAGCAAGGTTTGCCTCCAGGGTTTCGGTTTCACCCAACTGATGAAGAGCTCATAACCTTTTATTTGGCTTCAAAGGTATTCAAGGGGAGCTTCTCTGGTGTCGACATTGCCGAGGTTGACCTTAATAGATGTGAACCATGGGAGCTTCCAGGTATGATTGATGAGGAAAGAAAAGGACCAACAAAGGAGTGGTATAAATATTCTCTGTGTTGTTTGCTTTTGTTTCATTATATATATGGTTTCTTTGGTTGATGGGTTTCTCTGTGAAAACTGTTTGTCACTTGTGTTCCGTTTACATTGAAGATCTAATCTGTAAACCAGACACAGATTAGGATTAGGAAGCAAGTGTTTCAACTTTCATCAATTCAATGTGATCATGGTTATGGGTTAGTTTTTATATGTTGCTGGTATGTATTGAGTCTGGTTTTCGAGGGCACCATTGCTAGCTAGAATGAAAAATAGACATATTGGGCACCTTCTTTTTCAGTCTTGTAAGACCCACAAAGCTGTCTTCTCCTTTAATTCCTTTCCAATAAAGGATGATTTTTTTCTTTTTTCGAAGGCATAAAGGATGATTTATATCTTCACTTTCTATATCCGCAACGCATGTATGACTTAAATGACTTGTCCCTTTTCTAACATATGATATGATCGAGGGCTTCTTTCTTAATAAGTTGGGAGAACTTTCAAGCAAAGACTTTTGAGAGATGTTTGTATTATTATACTTGTAGCCCCCCTCCTCTCTCTCTCTCTCTCTCTTTATGTCATACTTTGTTTATATTTTCTGTCATTGTCAAGTGCATGCACTTGAATTCTACTTCCCTTATCCTCAACTATCCATATACTTAATTATTCGATACAAAATCCATCTCAAAGTTGGGAAAATTTTCTGACAGAGCTCATGGATAAAACAACCATAACCAAAGAGAGAGAGAGAGAGAGTTAATTTCTTATAGCTTTGTCTTGTGTTATTTATGTATGTAACCATATATTATCTTTTTCTCTTCTTAATTGTTTCTCAGACATAGCTAAGATGGGGGAGAGAGAGTGGTATTTCTTCAGCCTGAGGGACCGAAAGTACCCAACCGGGTTGAGAACAAACCGAGCAACTGAAGCTGGGTATTGGAAAGCCACAGGCAAAGACAGAGAGGTTTACAGTGCTTCAAATGGAGCCCTACTGGGAATGAAGAAAACCCTAGTTTTCTACAAGGGCAGAGCTCCCCGAGGCGAGAAAACCAAGTGGGTCATGCACGAGTACCGCCTCGATGGTGATTTCGCCTACCGTCACACGTGTAAGGTACATACATCTTCTCTCTCTCTCTCTCCCCCAAAACCTTAACTCTCTCTACACTCTACAAATCTATATGCGCCTCGGGCTAAGTAAGCAGTTGATACAAAAGACAAAGTAACCTGCCCCCATTGATGAATATATATTATATTTGTTTTGGGTTTTAATCTTAGGGTATAGGTTGACTTGTTCTGATCCTTAAAATGGATAAATGAAAAATGAAAACTGCTCTAATCGGTAGTTCAATTGCCATGGTTGGTTCATGGTTCGGTTGTGCTGTGCAGGAGGAATGGGTGATTTGCAGAATATTTCACAAGACAGGAGGAGAGAAGAAAAGCCCATTTTTCCAAGCTGCTCACGGCTATCTCATGGAAGCTTGTTCATCGTCCCCGTCGACTTGCTTGCCTCCACTGCTTGAACCCCCAACAACAGTGATGGACGTTCAGTCCTCGATACAAAGCCTCCAAAATAATTACTTGATTCACCAAGAAAATGGTGTCAAGAATCTAATAAACCCAGTTAGCACACAGACCCAACTTTTCCCGATGAGTAGCAGTAGCTTATTAAGACCCTCCTTTTCACCCACTACCATAAACCCCAACAACCCATCGCACTCCATCCTACTCAAGTCGCTCCTCTCACATCAAGATTGCACTTTGAAGCAAGCCACTGTTCAGAAACAGTGCAAGACAGAGTCCAACTTTTCCCATTTTCAACCACTAGATGCTAACTTGCACTGGGTGGATAAGATTCACCAAAACCCCCTGTTTATTGAGATGGGTGTGGGTGGTCCGGGTGGAGGAGGAGGTGGTGGAGGCCCTGGACCTGGAGGGGGTGTGTTGGGGTTCACAGCTGTTGCAGACACTGTTCATGAGATGTCCACTTCAGTTGCTTTCAACAGGGCCGGCTTTCAGATGATGCTAGATCCTCCCATCAGAGGCGCTGGAGAATCTGGACCCTAAGATCTTTTATATACGTCCATAGAATCTATTTGCTTGTACTGTTACTGTAGATGTGTAAGTGTTCTTTATATGTATGTATTTTGGAGATTTTCTGCACTTTTTACCAGTTATTTTGTAAGATGTTTGCCTTGGCCTCTCTCTCTCTCTCTCTCTCTCGTAAACTGATAAACACACACAATCTCCAACTTTGGGTTGGATATTCGAAACCCTGTGAAAGTGGAGAGGGTCTGTGATGTGACATCAACGATGGGATTGGGGTATTATCATTTGACGTCACCATTTTTTTTTCAGATTTTGATGATTAGGATTGAGGAGGGGACTTTTGCATGCATGCACGCGCAATGGGCTTTTGTTTATGGCTGGGGATCTGCCCCCTTCTGCAAATTGGGATCACCTTCACCCTCTCCACACTCCAAAATCCAAATCCGACTTTTTTTTTTTGAAGGTTTTAGAAGAGCTAGCAGTCAAAAGAAATAGACGGTGTTTGGTTCGGATTATGTTTATTGAGTAAACGTTGCGATAGAGGATATTTGTAAAAGCAAATATCAAGTTCTGTGCTCCCATTCTACGAAACTTCATTTTGGAACTTCCCTCCTTAATGAATAGGAGTTTATTCGCACTTTTACTGATGTGGTCATAAACACCCTCGTTAATTATTTATTTAATAAACATAAACATAATCAAATACATACATAATGAGCTTTTATATAAAGATCTTGACAAATCATAGATCGTTTGATTAGAGATGCATCTTTCCAATTGAAAACGGGTTTTTCTACGTCTTTTCAGGGTAAAGTCTTTTGCAACCAAATGGAAAAAAAAAAACAAAAATACGGACTATCAGATTTCTAAACAGCCAATAACCCATGCAAAAAGACACACCAAACCGGGCCTTAGACTAAATAGAGTAGATTATAGAGGGAGCAAATAATAGAAACTAAAGATCTCCTCCCCCGATCTGTGCAGCAAGCCTGAGCCTGTAGTAAGAAAGAACCCTCTTTCTTTGCACAAAGAAAAAAAGAAAAGAGGATGAATATACAGTTTTTTTTATCTTTTTTTCCTTGTGTATAGGAATTCATGACGTCGATGAGAACGACATGAACGCGCTTTGACATACGATTTCATCATGCCTTGTTTGGGGAACAACAAAAAAAAAAGAGTATGCTTTTTTTTATTTTCCTTAGCTCTCATGAGTCATGACATGCATGGGGGATGACAGTGGTGTTGGTATCACGATGCCCCAGAGTTCAAGAAGATGATGATTCTTCCGAGTCATGACAAAGTCGGTACGAAGCTGGCCTTTGCTCTACACATGGGCTTTTTTTTTTCCTTTTATTTATAAAGATAACAAAAATAATCATTCAAGGAGGCTCGACCACACTGAGATTGAGTGAGATAGCTGCTGTAGGCCGTCGTATTCTAAGAGGATGGATTCTTAGGCTATAAAGGTTGCATCTTTTTTTCAAGTGTAGTGCAGCAGTAGTTTCTGTGGAGTGTGGACCCTTCTTCACTTTCTCGTCTCAGTTCTAACTTCTAACAAGGAATATTGGTGAAGTTTATTAATTATCAACAAGAAGGAATAATAAATTAAATAAACAAAGACGTCACAGGTTCATAGAAAAGCCCAACTGGTCGGACAGCGGTCCTTAATAAGTGGGTATCAGATCATGAGTTAAATACCATGAATAAAACAAGTTGGGTCGGAGGGAATTGGGATCTTCTGCCAAACAAACATGTTACAACCCTTTACCAATTTGATCTAACACCACATGTGTGGTATGCAATCTTGCTGGTAGATTGTTAGAATGTATTTTGTTGGCAGATGATCCAGACTCGATCAAAGGTAGATGTACAAGTGGGGTACCTGATTTGAAGTTTTTATATTGCATCTGGCATGCCGGGTCAATTCAAATTTTGACAAAATCCCAACCCAAAACTGCCCAATTTGCCCCCATAATCGGAGGATGGCTCAGGTGGATTGGTTTAATATATATATATATATATATATATATATATATTCCAATCAAACAGTGAGAACTGATAAAGATCAGCCATTCCATGCATGGCCATGGCCCATGGAGGCATGACTTGGGAAAAGAAACTGGAGACCCTTTTACCAATGGAGCTGTTTGTCACTTGGGAATTTAGCTCATAGCAACCCAGCACCAGCAGCAACCAAAGATCACATCCATGCTTCAACAACAACAACAACAATGCTTCAACAACAACAACAACAATGCTTCAACAACAACAACAAGGACTAAGGCTGAGACTGACCAAAGCCAAAATGGTAATCTCTTGGCATTTTTGTTTATGACATATTTAAACGTGAAAGAATGGAGCTTTGTCAGGAATCTATTCAATGGAATCTGCCACACATCAACATATAATATACCCATGATGACAGTTTTTTTAAAAATAAAAGTAAAATTGGAAATATTTAAAAGGAAGAGGCGGGGTTACTTCTCCAATCAATTGTCAACGGGTACGCCCTGCCCATTGAGCATTGAGAAGACAAAAGCATTACTAATTAAGTGGTACACTTCTCATCAGTCGTCCTGGGGTGAACACACAAAGCTAATCAAAGTGTTACCAACGACACCCCTTTTCCAATTCATTGATTTATTACTAGCAGGGTAACATCTTTAAAAGGACCAGAAGATGATCAAAGAACGGTAAGATAGATTGCCACTTTATACTTTTATAGTACACAACATCTAGAGGATCTTCAGGCTGTAAGCAATCGGATAATACACGGATACACCAGTTGGACACACAGTAAAACAAAAAGATAGAAAACAAAATATAATAGGCAACAAATAGAAAAACTGAAACGAAAGCACAAAATTAGAGGGTTAGGGGTCTTTATTATTATTATTTTTATTATGGGTTGTTTCTTTGGTGCTTTGTCCAACCCAAATGAATTTTGAGTCCAGAGTCCAGACTTTGGGTTTGATGACTTGATGAGCAGCCATCTGAGGTGTACAGTACAACAACCAAAAGGCCCAATTCCAACAATGTCTTAAGGTTCTGCCATATACATTATTTTGTCCCCATTTACACTTTTTTATTATGCACCTCTCAATAAACTTTATGTCAGGTTTTCTTTTTCCACCGGTAGGTAAGCGGTTCTAGTGGTCACTGGTCAGCAGTTAGCAGATGAATAAGGGTTTTTGAACCTGGGCTGCCTCCAATTCCATCTCCATGGTACGAACCCCCCCCAGTCTACTTTACCAAAGAATACAGGTTTTAAACCCCAGCCACAGCCAGCCAGGCCTATGATACGAATCCCCAACAGGTTTTACGAACTTGCCACGCTGCCACCTTCCCCCTCCTGATTTTGTTGCTATTGGACATTTACTTTTACATCGGCATCCAAACAATCCCTAATCTCCTGTAAGGGCTCTCGTTTGGCAAAAATCGTTGTGCTTGTGTGGCGACCAAACAATGCACACGATCTCTGGCTGGGAACACGTGGGAGGTGTTCCTCAAAATTAGGGAAGTTTCTGACACTACCCCCAATGCGTTTTCTGTTTCTGGCATTTACAATTCCGGAACAAGAAAGGGCCTTCGCCCCCTTAAAAAAAAAAATCGGCTACAACTACAAATGTTGGTTTTACACACTCGCTGTAAGTTGTAACAAACAGTATTTTGAGAGACATGGGCTTTGTTGGTAAGTCCACATACTCAGAGATACAGGTCAAATCGCAGTAGATGTAGAATACACCCCAACTCGCGAGAATACACTGTGATGGTGATGGTGCTGACACGAGATGACATTCTCATACCCAATTGAAAAGTCAAGCACTACTTGTATACTGTGATTGATTTGGAGAAGCCTGCAATTCATCAGCTTATTCGTGAATTCAAACCCAAAATTGCCTAGTTTGACCTTGTATACTTGGCCAGCTAAGCTCGCTATTTACATTTGGCTGCAAACTCTAGGACTCAAATATGATCAACAAAAAGTCGAGGGCACACATCAGATTAAAAGCTCATTTATGTTTCTTCTTGATACAAAGGCATGAACTTAAGTCTCAATGTTATTCAAATAAAGATCAGCCCAAGCCCAATTATCCAAAGAGGAAGGAAAAAAAGTCTTTCTACTACATTAAAGACAACATGAAGAACCTTGGAACAAAATATATTATTGCAAACTTTGAGAACAGATACTGGGGCATTCAAGCATTTGTTGATCCATGGTATAAGTTCCTGCTAAAGAAAAAAAAAAAAAAAAAAACATCATTATTAGGTGCAATTTATGGCACCTACTGATAGGAGAAATAACATTTTTCTTTGTATTGGAGGACATGCTCCTATTCAGAGAGGCCATAAGCCTATAACAGCTGCAATCCAAAATTAGCACCCACCGGATCATCATAATCATGAGAGAAACAACTTTTCTCAATGGTTGAAGAAGAAAGTCCATACAACAAACCAGAAAGGATGCACCAGAGATTCAGACAACATGCACAACTGTTTAGAATATATGAATACTTTTCAAGAGAAGATGACAATAAAGAGTCTGAAAAGCTACTTGTGCAGCTGAGCAATAATAAAATAATGTAGCCAGGTGGCCATATGAAACTTTTAATTTATTTTATTTCAAACTGTACGGATTTCACTCAACCCATCCTGACCAAACCTCTGAACGACCTCACTAAATAATATACTCAGCGAAGGCTATATTTGCCAATGTTTCAATATTACTCGACTTGATACGGTAGGGTTAAGGCAGCCTTACTACCGAACCAAATCCAGTGGCATCCCTAGCCAGTTAGAGCAGTTCAAGTTCAGTTTTTCGGGGCGGGGGGAGCCCTTAAAGAGAAAACATGTAATGAATCAAAAAACAACAACCTTCCTTCGCAATAATGAATTTCTAACACCAAAAAGAAGCCTACCAGTAAGAAAAAGGGGGTTGTGACCACATCAAAAAACCATATAACGGATTTAGGTCAGGAAATTCCATTAAAAGTTGTTCAAGGATAACACAGATGGCAGGAGAATGTACAGTAGACCACACTTTAGCCCAAACGAGCCTAATTCCAGGTTGCAGAGCAGTCTCCATGTAACCTAGGTCATTTACTTTAGAGTTTAGACACTGTTCCCATACTTACTAAAACCTACCCTATAGTTTGTATATTACTAAAACACCCAATAGTTTGCAACTGTTTTACCTAATTGACCTTCCATCGGCAACTGTTTGTATTTTCATTTGGGAATGGTCACATGGCATCTTAAACAAGTAGAAAATGTGAATAGACAGGGGCCCAAAGATTTTTATTCCAGAAAAATACCCCTAGCAGCTCTCATATCAACCTTTTATGGAACAATTTTGTCAAAATCTTACGACTTACGATATGATTCATGATTTGAATCATGAATCCCAAGGGTTTTGATTCAAACCTTATGTCTGAATCCTTTTATGCAAAAATCTTACGATTTTTGTTTGAATCCTATGATTTGATTCATAAATCTTACGATTTCTACGATTCACTACGATTTAAATAAATTCAATTAAGAATTAGTTCTCTACTTTGTTATATTTTTGTTTATATCTAGTTTTGTCAAGGGATTTTTTTTAAAGCCCTTACTAGAAAATGATTTATTTACATTATTTAAGACTAGAAATTGAGTTTATTTTCCATCATATATTGGTTAAAAAGCCATTCATTATATGTGGATTTGTTTGACTTTCAAGTCAAACTTGATTATATCACCTCAGACTTCTATAGTATAAGTGGTAAATTCTATTATTTTAGGTACATATATGGTATATATAGATTAAAAATAAGGGAAAGTAACTTTCCTAATATATGTTTAACCTTTTAATATATCTATATTTAATTTTTTGACAAGTTTATAAAAATAGAAATAATCTTACAATTTACGATATGATTCACAATTCGATTCGATTCAACTTTCTCTACGATTTACGATACGACTACGATTTTCAAAACATTGTTATAGAAACAAAACACGGGCAAAATTAGAGCTTGGCTACACAAACCCTATCACCCATTACACTCTATCAACAGCCAATTAGCCATGTCCAAAAATCAAATAAAGTAAAACATCATAAACAACCTCCCCAAAACCACTCTGGATCTCCTACCCACAAACCATTCCCACACCCATACCCACAAGACACCACTGCTGTGTATTGGGAACATCTCCCCATGAGAGACAAGAGACATATTCCCAACGCACACCTGCAGTATTCCATGGGTATGGATGTAGGAACAGTTTGTGGGTAGGTGATCCGAGCTAAGTACCAAACTAATTCTATGACCACTCTATTTTCTTGTGGAACCATAGGAAACAGAATTATTAAAGAATAAAAAAAGGATTTTCCTCTTCAGTTCCAACAAACTAACTAGTTCTAGATATAGACTCAACTAAAAAAAAAGGATTTTGGGGAACCTTCTTGCCTGAAGACCCAAGTTCTAATCCTCATTGGGCATGCCACCATTATTGATCACAAACAAAATAACCAAGATACAGTTCAAGGTTCTAGCCATAGGAAGTGGTTTACATCAGAGGGAGTGATAGACTGATACCCGGATACTTGTGCATGCCTAGTGTACTTCCTTGGATACTGCACAAGCACCTTTAGAGTATATTTTACAGCATTTAACACTTTTAAAATGTGAAAAAATATGTGTTTTAACAAATCATAGTATAAAAAATGTGTATAAGTTAGTGATTTATTTAAAATTAACATGCATCCATCTATTAGCAATGTGTACATTTTTATTAAAGAATCATCAGTTTTAGTCTAGAAAGTTATTTTCAATTAATTCAATTCATGATATACCATATCAAATTCATTATTAATTTATTTTATTAATAACATATAATATTCTCATTATTTTTAGTTTAGTTTATTGCAGGAGTAAATAGAATACATGCGATGTACATTTAATAACAATAGGAGTGCAAATCAGGGCATACTTAGGATTGGAGACCAAGAGATACTTTCCAGTACCTTGGTTCAACAATACATAACAAGGGAGAGATTGAGGAGGATGGTACCCATAGAATTGGAGCAAGACAGGCAAAATAGAGGGATGCATCTAGAGTCTTATTATGCGATAGTTGAATATCACTTAAACTAAAAGAAAAATTCTATAAAACAGTTGCAAGGCCAGCAATGCTATATGGAGCAGAACATTGGGCAGCCAAAAAGCAAAAGGAGAGAAAATAGGCTTAGATAGTTCGGTCACATGCATACAAAAACCACCTGCAGCACCCATAAAAAAGGCAATCAGTTACAAGTTGAAGAGGCTAGAAGAGCTGGGGCAGACCAAAAGGGGCATGGGCCAAAGCAGTAATAAGTATTAAGCACTCATAATTTAGCAGTGGATATGGCATTAAAAAGAACAGAATGACAAAACAGGATTCATGTAGCTGACCCCATATAGTTAGAACAACGCTTTGATGATGAAGATGATTTTAGTTCTATTTATTAATGTTAAATTCAATCTGAGTCCAAACTAAATCTGATAGTAAGATTCAATTTTAATTCAAATATTTAACATATCAATTTTGGAGCAAGGTATATCTAATATGATCCTATGTTTGCATCCCAAGACAAAATCCCATTGAAAAGCACTGTAGTCTAAACTTTCTTGCATGCGTACAGTTAAAACTTAAAGGAAATAAGTGGTTTTGATTTTTTTTTTACTTCCTATAAATTTCAAGATTTACATACTTGAATATTTATCAGATGCTCACCAGTCACTACCTGGGTGCAGAGTTGGAGTCAATTCCTAGCAGGTCTAATATGGACCCGAATTTGATCTGTTTATGATCGCATCCAAAGCTTGCAACCAGGATCCTACTAATCAGGGGCAGATATTTAGATATCTAGTAACCAGGTGCTGATTGCCACCATGAGCTGTTTTCCCCACTCCAAAACCTTCTGAGGGAGTTGTGTTTCTTGTGATTGATCCAGAGACATAACCAAGGGAAGCTTATAAGGATGGGGATTCTAGTTATAAATCTCCCATGGACTCAATATTTAATAGATGATTTGACCTATATGATGGAGTTGAATGAAGAACAGGATTTGTGTAAGCCAACCCCAAGTAGTTGGGATAAGACTCTTATGCTTTTTTTAATTAATTAAGGCTCAATTTATTTTATATAAAGCATATGCAAATTATAGTTTCTAAGTTTGTCATTGGTGGCCAGATAAATGTGAATGGAAACTAGCATGAGCATGTTCAGACAGTTGTGGCAATTGGCAAGAACAGCTCTGAAAAGTGAACAACCTCAAGTTTTTATGCTACCATGCTAACCAGTTAACCACAGTTCTTACCTCTTAGTTTACTGTTCTACCAAAATTTGAAAATATACTTTTTTAATTAATACCCTTTTAATAGCATCTAGCTTCACTAAGCTGAGTGCCTTCTGCCTTGGACAATAGGAGGCCTCATTCTTCAGGGGTGCATTTGCATTTAATTACTTTATCTGATAATAAACATTTTTAAAAAAATCCAAGCCAATCAAGAAGCGACTCTGCATAGCCTGTCAGAGTTCAAAATTTATCAACTGAAGGGGCAGAAAGCAACTTATTAGGACTTAAACATAGGATTGACGATCATAAGTAGTAACATGAGAAGAGCCCATTTAAGACCACCATCTTTATCATTCATCAACTACAAAATTCAGAAAAATGAATTGAGAGGTCGTTAACTTTTTTCCAATTTTGGAGCCAATTAGTAATAAGCACAGGGATTCTCATGGATTTTTCCATTTGATTATCATTGTTACCCCAAAAGAATAGCAGACTTAAGCATATCATCTCCAATGCGCATTTTAGTGTATGTATTTCTCTTTCATGTTAGTCAACCCTAGATTTTAAAGCTCGAGAGCCAAAACTAAAACATGAATCCGGATCAGCTAAGAACGCAATCCAGTCTAAGTTTAACAAATATATGATATAGTATAACCTATATCTCTGTTCTTTTCAGGTTATCCTCTGCTGAGGAATGATTTTTGGATTCTGCATTTTCTATAAGCAACTTGTAAAAGATTTGGTTGATGATAGAAGGGATATAATGTGTTTATGTATAGTTCGATCACACTCACCACATTATGGGCTCAATCGGGTCTGGAATTAACTCAGATAAAATAGAAATTTCGGCCTTCCAAGACAATCCTCTTACATTCAATTCAACAGCTCTAAATTTTATAATAGTTGCAGTACGATAGCAAGCCAACGTCTTATAAGACAATAAATGGATGGATCAAAAGAAAAGAGACGCGTTTACCAGTTCATGTAAAGGATTTATTAAAACCCTAGTAACAAGATCATTTACGTCTAAAATAAAAGACCAACTAAAACCTATAAAAAGAAACAGAAGGTCGAATTCACAACCCCAAAACCAGACTGGACCATGGAAATTTAAGAGAAAAGGATCGAACCTTGATAAAGAAGACCAACGCTCTACTTGGCATTATCCTTCTTGTTGGGGTCCTGCTGCGGGGAGTAGATCAAAGCAGCAGCCATTGCTCCCGGAAGAACAACAAACCTCGCCAGCACTGCGAGCTTGGCAACCAAAGGCTCCCCTCTCATAAACGCCATTAAACCTTTGCAGCTGCCTCTCTCTCTCTCTCTCTCTCTCTCTTTCTCTCTCCCCTTTTAGCAGCAAACAGCAATAGTGACTTGTGAACAATGCGTTCAACGTCAGAACTCGAACCATCAAAGGTTAAAAGTGGCAAGACGCAAGCGAGATTTGGGATTAAAAATCTATTAGACATAAGTGCCCCTAATCTTTATATAAAATGACAATATAATGGATCGGTCGCAGGGATGCAAACGGATTCGATCCGATCTTCTGATCCTATCGGTTGTAGGGATGCAAACTGATAGGACTCGATTTGAATTTGAATCCTATCGGTAAGTTGGACCTTCGGGTCTGATCTAATACAACTAGTTTTCTTTAAAAATTAATAAATTATTAAAAAATAAATAAAATATACTAAGTAAAAACAAAAAATAAGTATTTTTTAATTATTTTCATCATATACACATATTTTTTATAAATAAATAAATAACATATATGTGTATTATATAAATATATATACATATATTTATAAATATATCATATATATCGGATCGGATAGGGGGTGATTCAAATTCGATCCAAACATTAGAACAAGGGGTGATTCGAATTCGACCAAATAGGATCGGACCTCATATTGGATCGGTTCATGATTCGATCCATTTGCACACCTAATCAGTCGGTATTTCTGGTTTGCTAGTTATGGCTAGACTTGTTAATGGGTTGGGTAGCTAGATGGCCCGGCCCGATCTAAATTGGGCTTCAACAGAATTTCAAGCCCGCAAGTTCGGTCTCAGGCTTAAAACACTAGGTTTGAGCTTGACTTGATAATGTATTATATAATAAAAATATATTATATATATAATATATTTTTTCTTTATTATTCTTCTCTTTTTTTCAAGTAATAGCAAGATCTTTCATTATTTTTTTTTAGGTTTTGAGGTCTTAATATAAATAAAACAATTTTTATTGAATAAAGAAAAAAAAATCTTTTCCAATTTTCTAGCCGAGCTCGAGCTTCGAACTTCATATAATGGCCAAACTTGGGTTCAAGACCTAGGCCCAATGGTTAGGCCGGGCTCAGGCTCAAACCTGAGTATATTCTGTTAATGTGGAGACAAAGCACAGCCCAAACCTGACCTAACCTATGAATAGGTCTAATTGTAGCACAGTCCGAAACCACTCTTTGCCCTTTGCCCTTCCTATCAATTCAATCATTACAATATCTCCCTTGTCATTCAAGGGAATATGTTCCCAATACATGGTGGTGGAGCTAACAATTTATAGGGGCGCTGAAACCGTCAAACCACTCTTTCTCCTTTTTCTCTTGTTACTTCCCTCTCCATTTATATTTTAAGAATGGGGATTTGCTATTCACAGAGCACACCTCACACCAATCTCACACTCACAGCCCCATCCCACTATGCATTGTGAACATCTCCCCATGAATAATAAATCAAATTGTTTCTTAAAACAAAAACACAAAAAATATGTTCATGGTTGTACGTGTGTTTTCTGTTTTTAAAACTGAAACAAAAAACATGTTTTTGAATCTAGTTTCAAAAACATAATTTTACCTGATTATTTAACGTCATGTTCTATAAATCATATAATTTGTATACTAAAAAATGTTTTTTTTTGTTTTAAAAACCAATATTTTGATGGTTATTAAAACATGAACATTTTTTTTTGAAACAAAACTGATGAAGGAAGATTTGACCCGACCCCTTGGCCATATGACACGTGGAAACAACCAAGAGTGACCTGGCAGAAGTGCCAGCTCAGCATGATAGCGGGCCCCACAACCCGAGCTCTGAGCAAAAAGTCCCGAGCTCCCCCAAAGGGGGAACCTACAACTCGGGCTCCGAGCTGAAGAGTCCCAAGCTCCCCAAAGGAGGAACCTGAGCTCTCCCTTCGAGGTCCTGAGCCTAACAAAAAGCACAAAAGGCAAAGACCCGAACTGCTCACCTAGAAGCAGTTCGGGCCACACCACTACCCGAGCTCAAGACTTCACCTCACACACCACTTCGACTCCAAGTGTCCTGACTGAACAACCGTACTTGACGACCAGGAGACCCGTACACGGAGGCGGCGCACCTGACTGATTAAAGGTCCGACACATGACAGCCGCCATCCAACGGCCAACGGCCACCTGCCACCGCCATCTCAGACGGGCAGAGGCGGCCCTGGCAGCTGGCAGTGGAGGTTATGACACCCGAACTATCAAAGGCATGGAAGTAAGTGTACATGGTGATTATAAAAGGCCCCCATCTCACAAAGAAGAGGGTATGTGATTCTTGCGCTTTCTGGTCTTAGAATTCCTCATTTCCCTTGCCTTCTGAAAGAGCACTAACTTGAGCTTCGGAGTGTTCCAACCGGGTTCCTCCCCGGAAGTCTCCATTTTCTTCCTTGTTTCAGGCACCTCCAATCTCGTCAGAAGTGAGGTAAGCGGCAACTAGGACCGACCGGATTGCGCATCATCATTTGGCGCCGTCTGTGGGAAGCTTTCAAAAGGCCTCCCCAATCCTTTAACTCTCTCTCTCAAAGAAACTTTAGCTTCTATGGCTTCCTCCAGCAGCAACAGGCACAACGTCGACTTGAATGCTGTAGGGGAACACCCTCAGTCCGCCACCATATGCATCGGACAGTTCACCGTCCCCCTCTCAACGGACGGAATCCCTAGCCTCAATGCACCAAGCATGGTGGCACCTGTGAATGTTCCCCTTCCCCTCCCTATCGAGACAACTTTCGTTGAACCTACTGCTGTCCCTCTAACGACTAGCCAAAACCAATTCAATGACTTGATGCAGTGCATGCGGGCAATGCAAGCCCAAATGCAGCAATTCCAGCAACATCAGCTCCATCAGCAGCAAGTATTGCACCACATTTCTCAATATCATTATCAACAGCAGTTCCCCCAACTAACTCTAAAACAACCACTACTCCCACCTCGGCACCCTGCTCCAAAGCTGGCCAAGCCCCCCCCCAGGGCGGGCGCCTTCACCGAGGAGGAGTCTCCCGACTCCAGAACCCCTCCAAGAGCCAGGCCTCATCCCCGTGCAGGAGGAAAAGACTAACCACCCCCGCCTCGCAGCCCGCCGGTGGATCGGGAACCTCCTTGCTAGTCAAGTCAACACCTCAGCACTCTCAGTTCGAGCTCCTGCTCACAGAGAACCAGTTCGGCGTCCTGGCAGCGTACTACCAGCATTCCAGGCCGATCAACCTCGGCAACACCGAGGCAAGTAGCACCAACACCAAGCCCTCTAAGCAACAGCAGAGACGTCGGTGAAGTGGCCGAACAACCACCCGCATCCTACCCGAGCTCCGAGGTAAAGAAGAAACAAGCTCGGACGAGGTAAAAGTTGCCCCTATTCTTCTAGTCCCTTCCCCCCTGTCATCAGAACTCCTTGCAGTCCCCATGCCCAAGGATTTCAAACTCCTTCCTCTAGACAAGTATGACGGGTCTTTTGACCCCAATGACCATGTCGATGCTTTCCAGTCCCAAATGCACCTGGCAATGGCCAGTGAGTCTTGTATGTGTGTGGTGTTCACTACAACCTTCAGGGGAGTAGCCCACACCTGGTACAGGAACCTGGCCCCCGGGTCGATAAGAAGCTGGACCCAGTTCGTGCAGGTCTTCACCGCACACTTTGTTACCAGCAAGCAGTGCCCCCGCACCGAAGAGAGCCTCCTCAGAATAGTCCAGAAGGAAGGAGAATCCATCCAGGGCTATATCAAACGGTTCAATGACGCATGCTTGCAGATACCACGCCTAGACCCCGCAGTACAGCTCGCGGCAGTCAAGAGGGGCGTGACACACAAGGAGTTCAGGTGTCACATGGTAGTCAACCAGCCCGCAACCGTAGCCGAGTTCCTCAAGTTCGCGGACAAATTCTTAAGAACAGAGGAGGAGATCAACCAAAGGACTGAAGGCGGGATCGAAAAAAGGAAGAGGGAAGGCGAGCCCTCCAACTCAAATGACAGGAGGAAGAAAGACCCAGCTTGGGTGCCGAAGCCAAGACAGTCGTTCCGAGCTCTTTTAGTAGGTCGGAAGGACTACACGCCCTTAAACGCGAAGCGGGCCGAGATCTTAATGACGATCAAAGACGCCCCGTATGTGAAGTGGCCACCTCGTCTGAAGGGAAACCCGAACGAGAGGAATAAAAACTTGTACTGCAGCTTCCATAGGGACTACGGTCATAGCACTGAACATTGTAATAATCTTCGCGATGAGATAGAGGAGCTTATCCGTCGCGAGTACCTACGAAATTTTGTACAGCATAATAATAATAATACTAGTAATAAGACAGGTCGGTAGGGGGAGCATAGCAGAGATGCTCCCGAGTCCAGCAGTCGACCAGCCGAACCACAGAAGCAGCCCCCGGAGGAAAGACCAGTTCAGGGAACAATCCACGTGATCGTCGGAGGATCAATCATAGCAGGATGCACCTCGGCAGCAGCTCGGGCATCAACCCGGGAGGCCGCCAGAGAAGAACAAAATCCCCCAAAGCAGCCTAGGACGGAAGACCCCATATTCTTCACCGTAGATGATGCGTGCGGGGTCCACTACCCCCACGACGATGCACTTGTCATAAAGATTAAGATCAATGACTTCGAAGTCCAATGGACACTCATTGACTCCGGCAGTTCGGCAGACATCCTCTTTAAAGCGGCCTTCGACAAGCTCCAGTTCCGATAGAGTGACTTGAAGCCCGCGAACACCCCGCTGGTCGAATTCAGCGAAGAAGAGGTCAGACCCCTGGGAAAGGTCACAGTACCTGTGGAAGTCGGCACGTGGCCTAGCACGGTAAGACTCAGTCACGATTTCTTGGTGGTCGCGACCCCCTCCCCCTACAATCCCATAGTAGGTCGGCCGATCACCCACGCTTTAAAAGTTGTGGTGTCCACTTACTATTTGGCCATGAAGTTCCCAACGGACTTCGGCATCGGGGTAGTGCAGGGCGACCAGCTCGAGTCCCGCAAGTGCTACGTTGCCGCCCTCAAGGGAAAGGCCAAGGTAACCAGCAACCTCGAACTAGAGCGACCTACGGAACAGAACGAGGAGCGAGTTGCACCAACAGAGGAGACTGTTCCCATCTCTGTCTCGGCAGAGGACCCCGTTAGATTACTTCAGGTCGGGGCATCCC